CCCTCCCCCCCCCCGCGGCGTCTCTCCACCCCAGACGTCAGAGGGACATTTCCCTTGACGCGCTTTGACTGGCAGACTCAGAAACATAGCGGAGGTTTAGGCTGCTGCACCTGCACACACCTGGGGTAGAAAACAGATAGAAACAAAGATGCTTGGTGGGAGCTGGTATAAAATGCATACATGCAAATGCTGGCAGAAACATCCGGAAACACACCAGCTGTTGTTGTTATCGGTGCACCGTTGTTGTCTGGTGTGAGCGGGGCGCCGCTCTCTTCATCCAACGTCTCACTGGGCTAAAACAAACGTAAAGCAGTCGGCCAACTCATGAGGGAGATGAAAAGACGGGTTCTAGGCCGAGCACTTTCCGGCTGTGTTGTTGAACGTAAACCTGCGCCGCACCATTCGCACCGCAGGCATGCGAGCATGCATCAGACAGACGGCCACATGCACGAACCGCGAATGCAGTCATGGGTCGTCATACGTGGACATGTGAGTGCACAGGGTGTCCCAACGACAGCGGAGCTCCGGGTCAGGGACTCGCCGTAGACGCCTCCTTGCCATCGGTGTCCGCTAAGCGTGCCCGTTTGTGGCGCCGCCGGCCGGCTCCGATTAGCACCGTTAGCCGAAAGTGGCGCCACGTCGACGCTACGCACCGCCGCGCACTGCAGCTCGTGTCCGTCCCCCTCCATCGGACGTATTGATTTACTGATTAGCTTAGCATTGAAGCTTAGCTGTGACTCTCATGTCCTCTCTTATTCGATCGCTTCACGCGGCGGCGTGGGGGGAGGCTCGGGGTAGAGGGGCACCACCGCAGCCGGGACGCGTAGCCGAATGCCATTAAAACATCCAGCACATCTGGATGAAGTGACAGCACGAGAAGCCCGGGCAAAAAGAGCCGCGGTGCCTCCCGATCCTCGACCCCCCCTCCTCGCCTCTGCGCGCCCCCCAGTGCACGCCACTGGACCCGTGTGACACCTCCATCTTCAGAGCGCCGTCGCTGACACCGTGTCTGTGTTTCCACGTTTGTCGGTGTGTCTTTGTGTGTCTGCAGAGGCCAAGCAGAGGCCTTACTATGCGGACTACTGCCCCCTGCGCCTCTACATCCACACACTGTGCACCAGCAACTACCTGGACCTCTTCATCACCTTCATCATCTGCGTCAACGTCTTCACCATGAGCATCGAGCACTACAACCAGCCGCAGGTACGTTTAACGCTCATGCGAGTCCACTTCTGCCAACAACCTCGGACCCTCAGGCAGCGGCGAGACGTGCAAGCATCCATCTTTATTATTTGGACTCAAGTTAAAAGGCCTTAATTGGTTTTCTGAAGGTTCGGATTGTAGATTATGAAGAAAAGTAATAAGCGCCTTGTCGACGAGAGACGAAGTGATGATCCGTGTGTGTGTGTGTGTGTGTGTGTGTGTGTGTGTCCAGTATTTAGAGGAGGTGCTGAAGTACTGCAACTACGTGTTTACCTGCATCTTCGTCTTCGAGGCCGCGCTCAAAGTCGTGGCGTTCGGCATTCACCGCTTCTTCAGAGACAGGTGAGGCGTTCACTCCCAGCGCCGCCGCCGCATCGGATCCCACGAGCGCGCGCGCGTGCCTTTCTGTCCCGCGCTGACGCCGCGGCGCACAAACGTGTGCGTCTGTGCTCAGGTGGAATCAGCTGGACGTCGCCATCGTGGCGCTCTCCATCATGGGCATCACGCTGGAGGAGCTGAAGATGAGCTCGGCGCTGCCCATCAATCCCACCATCATCAGAATCATGAGGGTCCTCCGAATAGCGCGAGGTAGCGACACACACACACACCCACGTCAGTGTGTATGTGCGCGTTTGTTGTGGGTCCTGAGGTGCGCGTGTGTGTGTGTGTGTCTGCAGTGCTGAAGCTGCTGAAGATGGCCACGGGGATGCGCTCGCTGCTGGACACCGTCATGCAGGCGCTGCCGCAGGTGAGCACCGCCCGACCGCGTGGGCTCGCTGGTCCTCTTGAGGCGCGAAGGTCGGGACGGAGACGCATGAAAGCATAATTGGAGTCACATCCGTCCACGTTCCACTTTATTTATTCTGACTAAAAGTGTCTCATCGTGAGCCTTCGCATTCCCAAACGCATCACATGGGTCATTGCCTTTGAAACGCCCCCCCGCCCCCCTCCATCCGTCCCCAGATGCAGATGAAACATGGAGATGATTCAGAGTTCTCTTTATCTCGCACAGCCTGGACCTCCATCACGGAGCTGCTTTGTCAGTTAAGAAGAAGAAAAGAGTCTTCTTCTGATGCGCTCGCTGTGCTGTTTTTATTCAACGCTCTCCGTTTCAAAGGGAGTCCTGTGTGTGTGTGTGTGTGTGTGTGTGTGTGTGTGACACCGGGTGTGTCTGAGGTCGCTGCCTCCTGCTGCCTGCCGCGCTCCTCAGAGGCAAACGGCACATCGTGACGCACACAGACTCACACGGAGCCACACACTCCGTTCTCCTGAATGCCGACGCGCAGCGTTTTAACTCTAACTTTTAATATCCCGTTGACTTTAGCGTTTGTTTTATTATGTTGTGTCACAGGGAGTTTAGGTTACTTTTATTTGTACCTGTAGGTACTTTGTCTCCACAGACTCCACAGACGACACACATATGGAAGTAAATCTGTGTCATCGGATTTTGAAAGAAAAAGGTGATTGAATTTTTAGCACTGAATATTTATGCATTGAAATGTATACGAATGTTTTTCAACGTTAAAATATTCAACTGCAAAAAATTCAACGTTAAAATATTCAACCGCAAAAAATTCAACTGCAAAAAATTTAACCGCAAAAAATTCAACGTTAAAATATTCAGCTGCAAAAAATTCAACTGCAAAAAATGTAACCGCAAATAATTCAACGTTAAAATATTCAGCTGCATAAAATTCTACTGCAAAAAATTCAACTGCAAAAAATTTAAACGGAAATAATTCAACGTTAAAATATTCAGCTGCAAAATATTCAACTGCAAGAAATTTAACTGCAAAAAATTTAACCGCAAATAATTCAACGTTAAAATATTCAGTTGCAAAAAATTTAACTGCAAAAAATGTAACCGCAAATAATTCAACGTTAAAATATTCAGCTGCAAAAAATTCAACTGCAAAAAATTTAACCGCAAATAATTCAACGTTAAAATATTCAGCTGCAAAAAATTCAACTGTAAGTTGAGTACACAAACGTCTCCGTAGCAGCTGTCGCTATGATTCGTTCACCTGAGCGATGGCTGCATTGTCCACAGGGGGGGGGAGTTTATACGAGTCGCCATTCTGTGTGACTAAACCTTTTTTGTACATTACTGATGTGATGTCGTTTTGCTCGTCTGCAAACTGTTCATATACATCGACATTTATATCTGTAGCTTTGGTCCACAGAGGAACATTTTACGCGCATTTTGCCTTCCAGGTGGGAAATCTGGGCCTCCTCTTCATGCTGCTGTTCTTCATCTACGCTGCGCTGGGAGTGGAGCTCTTTGGCAAACTGGGTCAGTCAAACACACACACACACACACACACACACACACACAGCACATGAGCTGTTGTTGTGCGTTGAATCCGTCCTGCTCCCAGCGAGGAAAGATCACGTTTGCAGCATCGCGTTGATTCACACGTCGCTTGCTCAGCGGTTCGGCTCCGCGCAGCTCGTTTCTTCCCTGAGCAACGTGAGAGGGAAGAGGATGAAGATGAAGAGGTTGCTGTGCTTCCGCTCGATGCCGTCGGAGAGCTGGAGATGTCTGTTTTCCTCCTTCCACAAAGTAAACCCCCACCTTTTTTTTTTTTTTGCGTCTTTGAATCCGGACAAAGGCTTTCTGATGTGCCGAACGCCTCCTTTTGCCGCTCGGTTCCTCGCTTTAAATCCTGCCTCAGGGCTCAAACCGACGCAGGAACGGATGACGCTTTTGGTGCAGGCCTGTACGGCGGTTCGGAGGAGAATATTCCTGATCAGGGATCTGTTACTTCACAGCATCTGACACGCCCAGCGGCTGTCCGTCGCTCACGCGCCTGTTTGTGTTTGTGTGTCGATCAGAGTGCACTGAACACAACCCGTGCGAGGGGCTGAGTCGACACGCCACCTTCGACAACTTCGGGATGGCCTTCCTGACGCTGTTCCGGGTGTCCACAGGGGACAACTGGAATGGGATTATGAAAGTATGAACACAATACACACACACACACACATGGGGACTATTTCATCACAACACAGAAATAATCCCCAAAACCAATTAGGAAATAATAAAATGTCTTTGAGCAAACAAACACTGTCACATCTTGAGTTTCACTTTATTAAAGAAGGGGATGTAATCAGCATATAAACCTCCTTAAAGTTCTAAATGTTCTAAATGCATACAAACCTCAGTGCAGATTTCGGAGCTGTGTGACGTAGCCGAAGGTGTGTCGGGCAATAGTGCACCACCCACCTGTAAAACACTGACGTGTGTGTGAATCGTCCTCTTGTGTCAAGGACACGCTGAGGGAGTGTCACCCCGAGGAGCGCCACTGCCTCGCCTACCTGCCTCTGGTCTCCCCCATGTACTTTGTCACTTTCGTGCTCATGGCCCAGTTTGTGCTGGTCAATGTGGTCGTGGCGGTTCTGATGAAGCATCTGGAGGAAAGCAACAAGGTACGCTGACCGGAGGCCGGACTGTGTGTTTGAGGAACGCGTGGTGTTTCTCAGGCGGTTAAACGCGCTTCTACCTGTGCAGGAGGCCAAAGAGGACGCAGAGATGGACGCAGAGATCGCCTTGGAAATGGCGATGGAGAGGGAACGCAAGCCAAGCACAGTTTCCAACAACAGCTCAGTGGGAGGAGCCTACGTCGGGCCGCGCCCACATTCACCTGGACAGGTAGGAGGGGCTTAAACCGACCGGGCCCCCCCGTGTGCCGCTCCACTGGAACGTCCTTAAACGCGAAGGCGTGGGTCTCTGTCTCCCCCCGCAGGAGGGGAAGGTGCAGTGCGGCGACCTGCTGTCGTCGAGGAAGATGTCCGTATCCAGGATGCACTCTCTGCCTAACGACAGCTACATGTTCCGGCCCGTGCGGCCCGCCGGCGGCCCCTCCCCTCTGGAGGAGGCGGAGCTCGGCCCCCAGCACTCAGGTAACTCATCGGATCCGTCGTGAAATCCACTGCCAGTAATAATAACGTTGCGTGGACTTCACGCGGACCACGAGTGCTCGACGACGCATGCGTGTTTCTGCAAAGTTCTCCTGTGACGTGGCAATCCTCCTTTTGTACACGTGTTTCTGAAATATGTATTTTCATAATATTGTGGTGTCTCCCGATCCAATTTGGAGTGGATCAGATGTTTGGTGTGTTCGGTTTGTCCTGTTTTTGCTTCCTGTCATTTGTAGTGTTGTCGTTTCCAGTTTCTGCTTTGGTTCTTTGAACACGAGGCAGAAACACGTTTAGAAAGACGGCGGGAACCTTGTGACGAGAGCACCGTTTTATCTGCAGTCAGGCTCTAGCGGCTGTGGACAGACCCGGCTCTGTCCCAAGGTACTGACTGCAGCCGATGAGCCGGTAACCGCGTGAACCCGGGCCGGCCTTCGCGCGCGCTCGTCCGCTCGCCATGCCGGGTCACTTCGCGGGTCCAGCTGCAAAGTCACACGACTATTCATGTAAAAGCAAAGTGGGTTTATGAAGATTAATAAAGAAGTGGCTTTGCAGCTCGACCCGGAAGAACCGAATGAAGTTAAAGTTAAGATGTGACTGACAGTTCTGCAACGATTTACTCTGCACCCTCGGGTGTTTTAGACCCGGGGGGGGGGGAGGGGGGCAGAATGCCTGAGATCCTGGTTACACGACCCAGTTATCCATCACGGATCCAATTTCAGATCATTTTGCAATCAGCGATAAAGAGTTGTGGTGGTTATTGTATCCAGGATCAGCGCTGAAGACGTTTCCGCCTGGATGGTTTTTCATGTACACTTTATTTTGCAAGCAGGTTTGAATTGATTGCGAATTGATGTGTTTTAAATCCAAACGTTCTGTCAAAATAAAGTGTGTCTGCAGCGACGTGCATGTGTGTGTCTGCAGCGACGTGCATGTGTGTGTCTGCAGCGACGTGCATGTGTGTGTCTGCAGCGACGTGCATGTGTGTGTCTGCAGCGACGTGCACGTGTGTGTCTGCAGCGACGTGCATGTGCTTCCGTTGAGAAACCTGTGTCTGCATTCTAACACCCTCCCCTCTCCTCCCCCCCTCCCTCCCCCCTGTCCAGGCTCGGTGACGTCGGTCCACTCCCCGCCGGGGGAGAGCCGCGCGCTGCTGCAGGTTCCAGACGTCTCCCCTGTTCA